GCTATGCTCCAAAGTTATGCCTCATTCCCACTTCTTAATTCTTGATCTCAGTTATGTGTCAGTTAAAAGGAGAGGAATCTTGTCAAACTAACCCTATTGGATTGTAAAAGAATGCTTATTATCCAGTTAAATCTCTAGTTGGCCTCAGGTATGAAAGGCCTTTATGGTACATCCTCTTTCAATCCCGAGAGAACTACATTAAACCAAAATGAGAGGTACCACATAACTGGCTTCAGGTTATCCCAATATGGCTCTTTCCTTAGATACAAAAATGTTTATGCTGTTAGGGACTTTACAGATAACCTATTTTATACTTATTGTGTACATAAATAAACTCTGCTTCAGAGAGTGGACGGGACTCTTCCAGGGTCACATGATTGCTAATGGCAAAGCCAGGTCAGAATCATATCACTACTTAGGAGAACCCCATTATCCTCACCATCGTCCTTAATTTACCCTTGCTGACAACACAATTCCTCAGAGCAAAGATAACTCCAGGCAGAGATTCAATGTGGCCCCACGAACTCTTCCAATAACCATAACTACGTTATGGTAGACATGAGAGGCTAAGTTTCTTCTTATAAACCTTTCTGAGGTTAAGATCCTGAAAAACTAGGCACCACCACCATGTTCCAAACATTCTTGAAAACAACATTTCTAGCCAGAGACAATGTATTATCAGAGATTCTCACCAGAGAGGGTGAGGCAGGCTTTTCCTGAGATCTTCCCGGAACCAAAAGTATTGAAGAGGCACTTGTAACACCCTTCATCCTCCAGGGTGGTATTCCAGAACGTAATGGTTGAGTTCTTGAGTTCCAGCTGGGTGATGTTTATCTTGTCCTTATAGGCAGGCTGGACTACAACCCCATGGTTCTTGCTGAAGGTGACCATGTTTTCTGGGCTTACAGCCTTGATTTTCTGCCATGTCACAATCAAGACTTCCTCGGAATTTTGCAGAGAGCATCTTAAGGAAGCAGGTGTGTTCAGCAGCTCTTCTTCATCTTGGGTCACCACTTTTATCATAGAATCATAAAAGAACATTCATATTTTAAAATTTAATACATACAAGTATACATTTTTCTGATTTAAAAATGCATGTTCAAAGTTAAATATAGAAAACATAGGGGAAAATGCTGGAGGAAGGGGGATAGTGGAGAAGAAGGGGGATCTGGATTTTCCTTGTCCTTCAAACATAGCCTTATTGAGGTCAGAATACTTGGAACACCCAGGAAATAGATCTGCGGAGCGACAGAAGGATCTCCACGGTTGGAAGGAGACAGCCTGGCAGGATTGAGATGCATGTGTGTGTGAGTTGTGGGAGATAAAATAGTGCTGTTATGGAGAAGTGGGAACCCCTTCTGTGAAGAGACAAAAGGGAAACAAAGAGGGGCTGTGAAAGCACAGCAGTGAGTTAGCACAAGAGGAAAACCTCTCTGGACCATGGACTAGGGAGCGAAAAGTACTGAGTGTACTAGTTTGTGCAGTCTTTGGAGCTGAAACTCTCAGGTTCTGGAAGTGCACGAGTTTCTTTGGAGCAGAGCTGTGGCACGCAATCCCAGGGAGGAGGGAGCTGGTCCCAGAGTGTACAGCATGATGTAGTGATCTTTGGGGCACAATGGAAGAGAACAATCTCCTTCCTGGACTACTTTAGAAAGAGAGTTTATTGCCTCCGCAAGGACAAAAGACCCCGCAGGTGTGAGCCAAAGGTCTTTCATCAGCCGGGTGGAAAGGCTCTACTCTGGAGCAGGAGAGCAGATCACTGTCACGCCAGTCCTTTAAGACTTTGGGT